TAGTACGAATCGCGCTCGTTGGCCTGTGAGATACCGAGCGAACCCAGAATGTGTTCGGCCCGTTCGCGTAAGTACCGGCGGCGGAGATGGATGAGATACACCTGAAAATCATCGTCGGCCAGGGCCGCTTCAATCGTCGGGTAGTGCCCCACGAGGTGGCCCGTGTTGTGCTGCAGCACCTTCTCCCGGCAGAAGGCGGCCACGGTGTCCAGCCCCATTTCGGCAGCCGTGGCTCCGGCCAGCACCAGCATCTTGTCACGCACCAGCCACCGCTTACGCTGTTCGCTTGCCCTGGCCAGGTGCAGGTACAATCCAAGAACTTCGTGCGAGGTTTGCATCGTGAATGGTGCTCTAATCGAGGAGCCCGACGCGATCCCTGGCGTGGAGCAAAGACAAGCGAGTCTGGTACTATCATCCGTTCCGCCAGCCCAACTGCAAGAGCCGGACGCCCCGAACCCACTTTGCCCGCCTCAAGCCCGGTGTTTTAGGCAGAAAATCGGGCGAAGTCCGTCAGGGCAACTCGTCGGAAACTTGGCGCAACTGCACAAATCGCACGCATCCAGAACCATTTCTATCCTCCACGTCGCCAGCATGTCGCGCACTAGCCACCATTCGTCAACTTCCGCATCATCGAGCAACGATGCGTTCGAATTGGAGGATTATCGTTGGCTGGTCGGCGACGAAGCCGCGAAGTGGTTAGAAAAACTCACTGCACAAGTAGGCCATGCGGACGATCCAACCCGCGAACTGGACTCGTTGAGTACCACCCTACGCAAAGATCTTTCAGCGACTCGTGTACGATTGATCGTCGAACAGGTTGCGCTCCGCCGGCGTGCGGTGAAAAAGTTCTCTCGTGCGCATGAAATGTTCTTCACCCGCCGTGCGCTGGAGCAGGCGACCGACGAAGTGCTTGCCCACTACAAGGCCCAGCGGTACACCAGCGAGCAACTCATTACCGATATCTGCTGCGGAATCGGCGGAGACTTGCTTTCACTCGCCCAGCGCACAGAGATCCAAGGCGTAGACAGCGATCCAGTGATGGCCCTGCTCTGTTCGACCAACGCCTGTGCCCTTGGGCGAAACGCCAAGATTCACTGTGCGATTCTTGCAGACGTCTCCCACACAATCACCGGTCCTTGGCATCTCGACCCCGATCGACGGTCCGGCGGTGGACGAACCATTCGCGTCGAGGACCATCAGCCGGGCAAGGTAGAAATCGAAACACTACTGGCCACCGCTCCGAATGGGGCCGTGAAGCTGGCCCCCGCGGCAACTCCGCCGGACAGTTGGCAAGCTTCGGCCGAATTGGAATGGATCAGTCGCAATGGAGAGTGCAAACAGCTTGTCGCCTGGTTTGGTGAATTGTGTCGCGGTGAAGCCCGCCGAGTGGCAACGATCATAAGGGCAAAGGTCGGCGAGCAATCGTTGGCTGTTCGTTCAGTGATTGGAGATGCCGGCGACGAAGACCTGGTTCAATCTACGGCAACTGAAATCGGACAATACCTTTTCGATCCCGATGCCGCCGTGCTGGCCGCCGGGCTGAATGCTAGGCTGGCCGCCGAGCTCGAACTGGAAGCCGTCTCCCACGAAAGTGTGTACCTCACCGGAAACTCAGCGATTCACGATGCTGCCGTGGCCGGCTTCGAGGTGATCGACGTACTTCCGTTCCGCAAGAAACCTCTCAAGCAATTTCTCCGCGCACGTGGCATGGGCCAAGTGGAAATCAAGAAACGCGGCGTGCGGCTCGACGCCAACCAACTCCAACGTGAGCTCAGTGTCGGTGGCGAGGGTTCATGCACGGTGCTCATCACGCCCGTTGGCAAGCGCATCATTGCAATCGTCGCCAACCGGTTCGAATCTCACACGGCAGACAAACCGCCAGCGTGACGCATTCGCGCGTTTCTCCTCCAGCATGGGCCACCTAGACTGACCGTATGAACTGGCGACGTTTCTCAACCTCCACCTGGCTGTTCGCACTGGCATTGCTCACCGCGATCGTCGCCTTCGGCCTCATGGGCGAAACCCCTCGCAGCCGAGGGCTGTTGTTCAACACGCTGCTACTCGCCGCAGCCACACTGGCACTTAGCATACCGACGGGCACGGTTCTGGCTCTACTGATCGCGCGTTCCGACCTGCCGGGCCGTTCGTTCTTTGCAATCCTGCTGGGCACGTTGCTCTTCCTTCCCCTAGTTGTGCAAACAGCTGCCTGGATGGCAGGCTTTGGCTTGCAAGGCTGGGTCACCATGGCCTATGGAACAAGCCCTTGGGTCGAAGGTTGGTCGGGAGCCATCTGGGTTCACGCCGTGGCCGCCATTCCCTGGGTAACGCTGATCGTCGGCGTGGCCCTGCGGATGGTCGAGCCGGAAACCGAAGAAGTGGCCCTCCTCGACGGCTCGCCTGCGTCGGTGTTCTTTCGCATTACCGCTCCCCGGGCGCTCGGTGGTGTGGCGGCCGCCGCAATGTGGGTGGTGGTGATGACCTCCGGTGAGATCACAGTCACCGATGTCTTTCAGGTACGGACCTATGCCGAGGAACTGTTCACGCAGAAAGCAGCACTGGCCGATGCGAACCCGGTTCCGTTGAGTGTGGCCCCCGGAGTTCTACTCACGGTCGCGCTTGTGTTACTCGCCGCCGCCATGGGGGCTCAGCTCGTTCCTGCTCAATCGCCGCCCGATAGTGCGTTGCGAACCATCGAACTCCACCGCTGGCGAGGGCCGGCGTTGCTGTTCATGATCGCGGCCATGGTGCTCATGGTCGCAGTACCGATCGTAAACCTGCTCTACAAGGCAGGCATCGAGGTTATTCAACTCAACAGCGTACGCCACCGAGAATGGCACGCCTGGAAGTGCCTCGAAATCATCATCGACGGTCCTTGGCGATACCGCCGCGAACTGGCCGAGTCGCTATGGATCGCCTCCCTGGCCGCAACGCTCGCCTGCTGGGCGGCCGTAGAGTTGGCCTGGAAAGCCATGCGGAGCCAGCTCAGGATGTGGCTGGTGCTAATCCCGCTGGCGGTGGCTTTCGCCATCCCGGGTCCGGTGCTGGGGATGGCGATCATCTGGTTATTGAATCGCCCCGAGTGGCCCTCGCTGGTCTTCCTGTACGATCACACTGTGCTACCACCGCTACTGGCCCAAATCCTACGTGCACTGCCGGTCTCCACGTTCGTGATGTGGTACTCGCTACGTAGCGTGCCCACCAGCACCGTGGAAGCCGCTGCGGCCGAAGGGGCCAAGGATGGGGTGCTGCTGTGGAAGATCGCCGTTCCGCAGCGTCTGGCGGCCCTGGGGGCCACGTGGCTGGTGGCGTTCGCCATCGCCCTGGGCGAATTGCCCGGCAGCTTTCTTACGGCCCCACCCGATGTGATGACGCTACCACTGAGAGTATTCAACCTGATTCACTATGGCGTCGAAGACTACGTCGCGGGCATACTCTTGGGCCTGTTGGTGATCTATGCGGCCCTGGCGGTAGCGGTTATGCGGCTACTGACGAATCCTGATTCGTCCTAAATCGCCCCGTCCCAAGGTCACCGCACTCCAATAGCTGGATTACAATGGAACTTGGTAGTCCTTCGGGCCACCACGAAACCCTTCGCCCTTCAGACGATTCAGTCTGCCGCTTCCATTTGCAAACGGTTCTATGACTCGCACTTGGTTTTCTCGTATCGCGATACTCACCGCCACGCTGCTCGGCTACAGTTGCGCAGCGTCCAGTGCGGCGGAACGCGTGCGGTGGCAGTTTCACGATCGCGAGGTTGAGTATTTCGGCCAACTGCTTCCCGTCTCCAGCGATCAACAGCAATTGCTACAAACGCCCGACGGCGTGCTGTGGACCATCAACAACGATGACCTGATCCGAACCTCGCCGGTAGACGAATCCTTCGAACCGCTGAGCACAGAAGAACTCTCGGCCCGACTGCTCGAAGAGTTGCCCGAGGGGTTTGACATTTACGAAACGGCCCATTACCTCATCTGCTACGACACGACGAAGGCCTACGCCCAGTGGTGCGGCAGTCTCTTCGAGCGGCTGCACATGGCGTTCACCAACTATTGGTCGCGCCGCGGTTTCGATTTGCACGAACCGCAGTTTCCGCTGGTGGCCGTGGTGTTTGCCGATGTGAATGCGTACCGCGATTTTGCCCGACCCGAGGTTGGTGAGGCCATCGACAAGATCATTGGCTATTACAGCCTGCGAACCAACCGCATGACCATGTACGACCTCTCGGGCATGTCCTCGGCCCGACAGCCGGGCGATCGACGCAGTACCCAGAAACAAATCAACACGATTCTCTCACGTCCGAGCGCTGAATGGACGGTGGCCACGATCATCCACGAAGCCACGCATCAAATCGCCTTCAACACGGGGCTGCACACGCGTTACGCCGACATCCCCTTGTGGGTCAGCGAGGGAATCGCCGTCTACTTCGAAACGCCCGACCTCAGCGGCAGCAGGGGATGGCGAACTGTCGATGTGGTGAACCCGATCCGGCAGCGTGTGTTTCTCAAGTATCTGGAAACCCGCCCTCCAGGCTCGCTGCAGTCGCTGATTCAAGACGACGAGCGGTTCCGCAATCCGCGGACGGCAAGCGAAGCTTACGCCGAGGCCTGGGCGCTCAACTATTACCTGCTGCGACGTCATCGCGACGAGTACCTCGAGTATCTGCAACTGCTGGCCGAAAAACAGCCTCTCGAGACCACCGATCCGCAGAAACGGCTGGCCGAGTTCCGTCAGTGCCTGGGCGAAGATATGAACGCCCTCGACGAAGACTTCGTCCGTTATATGCGCGACGTGCATTAGCAGGCCGGCGAGAATTTTCTCACTTCTGCGGCCGGAACCTCACCTCTAAGGCCCCATTGCAGTTCCTGCGAACCCGGCCAGAAATTGTTAGGCGGCCCTGATTCCTGCCGGTATCATCACAATCTATGACTCCAGCAATTTCTCTAAGGTGGCCAGAGTTGAGAGGCTCCGGTCCTCAAACTTTTCTAACAGGGGCCAACACAATGCGGGCAATCATCCTCAGTCTGGCGACGTTTCTTCTGCTCAGCAGCACAACTGCACAGGCTCAAGACGGAAAGAACGCCCCCAAGAAAGAAGCCACTCCCAAAGTCCAGGTCAAGCTTCTCGAAGCCGGCAGCGAGCCAAGACAAGCACTGCGCTATCATCCGCCCGCAGGTTCGGAAGAAACGATGCGGATGTCGATGAAGATGGGAATCACCATGAACATCGGCGGCAATGAGTTACCTCCCCGCAACGCGCCGACCATGGAAATGGTGATGAGGCTGACAATCACCGAATCCGATGAAAACCAATTCGCATACGAGTTCGAACTCACCGAGATCGAAGTATTGGAAGATGAGGCGGTTCCGGAGCAAGTTCGCCAGAGCATGGACGAGCGGATGCAGGTGCTCGTGGGCTTAAAAGGCGAAGGCCGCGTGGACAACCGCGGGTTCAATCAGGGTGCTTCTCTCACATTGCCCGAAGATGCACCGGCCGATGCGAAGGAAATGTTTGCAGGCTTCGAGAAATCGGTCAATGAGTTGTCCACACCACTTCCGGAAGAGGCGGTTGGCGTGGGGGCGAAGTGGCAGGTCACTCAGGAGGTCGAAGCCAACGGAATGCGGATCACGCAAACCATCGAGCATGAACTCAAAGAACTAGAAGGCGATGAGTTCTCCACGACGGTGACTACCAAGCAGACCGCCGAGCCGCAGAAGATGGATTCCCCAGGTTTGCCGGCCAATGTATCCCTCCATCTCGACAGTTTCAGTGGCTCTGGCGACGGACAATCGTCCTTCAATCTAGCAGAGATGGTTCCCACCTCCGTAGTCCAATACGAGTCGCAAGCCAAGATGACCACCGTCGGGGTCGATGAACGCCATGTCATGAATGTTGAGACAACCATGGAGATGGAAATCCGGCCCGAGGACTAATGGACCGGCTGTGATTTTCGACTCCAAGGCCCCTCAATTCGGCTTCAGGCCCCCTTTTGTGTTAGGATAAAGGCTTGGCCCAAGAGGCTCGCCAGCGCTGCACCAACCGCCGACTCGCTGGGATCCTGGGCAGCCCTGCCATACAACCTCCCACCTGTAATCTCGGAGCTTCCGGTTATGACCGCTGACAACGCCAAGCAACCTGCTTCTCTGCCCTCGCGTCGCCAGTTCTTGCAAACCTCCACTGCGGCGATGGCCGGCGGAGCTTTGGCCAGCGGACTAGTCGTGCCTTCTAACGTGCACGCCGAAGAAAGCAGCGAATTGAAGGTCGGGCTCATCGGTTGCGGCGGACGTGGTACCGGGGCCGCGGTCGATGCCCTCAGTGCCGACCCGCAAGCCAAGCTGGTGGCGATGGGCGACGCATTCGCCGATCAACTCGAGACCAGCCTCACGAACCTGAAGAAACAAGAAGTCGCCGCCCAGGTCGATGTGCCCAGCGAACGCCAGTTCATCGGCTTCGATGCCTACAAGAACGTGATCGAGCTATGTGACGTCGTGCTGCTCACCACACCGCCCCACTTCCGGCCCGAGCATTTTCGCGCTGCTGTGGCCGCTGGCAAGCATGTGTTCTGCGAGAAGCCCGTTGCTGTCGACGGACCCGGCGTCCGTTCGGTATTGCAAACTGTCGAAGAAGCCCGCAAGAAGAACCTCAGCGTTGTTTCCGGCTTGTGCTGGCGATACGACCTCGGCATGCGAGAGACGTTCAATCGCGTGCTCGATGGTGCCATCGGCGATATCGTGGCCCTGCAGGTCACGTACAACACCGGTGGACTGTGGACGCGTCCCCGTCAAGAGTCGTGGAGCGACATGGAGTGGCAGCTCCGCAACTGGCTGTACTTCACCTGGCTCTCGGGCGACCACAACACCGAACAGCATGTGCACAGCCTCGACAAAGCCGCCTGGGCCATGGGCGACGAACCACCTTTGAAGGCCACGGGACTTGGCGGGCGTCAGGTTCGCACCGGAGAAGAGTACGGCCACATCTTCGACCATCACGCGGTGGTTTATGAATATCCCAACAACGTGAAGCTCTTCGCCTCATGCCGTCAGCAGAACGGCTGTTCGAACGACGTATCCGATCACTTCATGGGCACCGCCGGTACCTGCGATGTGATGCGACACAAGATTGTTGGTGCCCAACCGTGGCGATACCGCGGGCCCAAGCCCAGCATGTATCGCGTGGAACACCAGGAGCTGTTCTCCTCGATCCGCTCCGGCAACCCGATCAACAACGGCCAGTACATGTCGTACAGCACGCTGATGGCAATCATGGGCCGCATGGCTACCTACACCGGGCAAACCATCACCTGGGAACAAGCCCTCAATTCCGAAGAAGACCTCACCCCGCCCGCCTACGAATGGGGCGACCTCCCAGTCCCGCCAGTCGCCATGCCGGGCGTGACGAAGATTTCATAACGCTGTCCGCATAGCACGCCATCGTCCAAGCCGGGTTCGAACGCCCGGTGAGATGCCGGTCCAACCGGGCGAAGCAGCGCTCTGCTGAAGGCACACAGAAAACTCGACGCACCGCTAACGTTGGATTCCGCCGCTGGGGTTAGCGATTTGTCTGGCCTCTCGTGGCGGCAAGATTACCGGCTGCGGCAACCATTTAGCCAGGGTATTGATGGGGCCCTGAAGCAAAGCCCGATCGTCATCCTCCGCGGCAAGCGTTCTTAGTAGCGCGGTCGATGGCAGCAAGTTCTGCGGCACGACAAGGATTGTGTTGTTGCCGCCGGTCATGACCACTCCGGCCCGTTGACCTAACTGGCTGTCGACGTTGCGCTGGCCCTGGCCATCCTTCGAGCGATACTCTTCGATGCGAAGCCCTTGCCAGTCGAGGGTTACGTGGGCCGCGAGTCGATGATAAGCGGCCAAGCCGTCGGGTCCACTGAAACCGGGCTCGAAGAGTGGCATCTGCAGCTCACTTCGAGCTGCCTGCAACAAGCTGTGGCTTACACTGCCAGGACCGGCGTAGATGTTCGCTTCCGCCACCTGGAGCCGCCCCTGATGCATGACGGCTTGCTCGATCTCCAGTTGAGCCTTGCCCGTGAGGGTGTGCCTGAAGTTTTGAGTGACAAGCTGCGACAGGTCGACGTTGTTCAACTTGCCGCTCAACTGGCCGCGTCGTCCGTCGCGCGCGTCGATGGTCCAAAACGTCCCAGCGAACGTGGCCTCGGTTCCCAGTGAGTTCCAAGCCGAAGCGAAGTGCCCCAGCAACGAGCAAGGCAGCGGCTTGTCACCAGTCTCCAGCACGAACGTTGTTGTCGCTGGGCTGGTATCTCGATTGCGGAACAGTTTGATCTCGCTGGCGTTCTTCGAGGTGTCGCCCATCACGCGAAAACGCACATCGACGACCGGCCCAGAGGGGCCCATCTCCGTCTTGGCCATCAAGGCAACGGGCAACTGCCGCTGATTGGCATCCCGCAGGTTCAGTTCTTGAATATCCAATCGCCAAGCCTGGCTGCCATCACCCCCGGCCAAGCGACGGTGCAGTTCTTCATACAATCGCTCGCCCTGGGCTGTATGCAGCGTGGCCGAGGCCGCCGCGAAGGCGTATCCCCTCTGAAGCTCCCGTGCTTCGATCGAGGGCACACTCAGCAGCGGTAAGCCCGACTCGGGGTCGAACAGTTCGAGGCCTTCAACCCGAGTGACTCCTGGTCGCGGGTGCTCGACGCCGGACAGCGAAACCTTCACCGCCAGGGTCGCCGCCAGTTCGTCACGAATGGCCCGATGATGTAGTGGGGCTGCCCTCCACGCCCCAAAAACAACCAGTGCCGTGGTAGGAAGAATGCACACTGCCACAAAAACCACGCGGCAGGTCAGTCGTCGCGCTTGGAAGACTCTGGGGAACATCCTTGTTCACCTGATGCTTGTGGGACTAGTTGCGACGGGGATTAACGCTCGCGGGCCATCTCGAGGAACAGTTTCCAACGGGCCTGCATCTCGCTGATACTGTCTCCGCCGAATTTTTCGACCAGGGCGGTGGCAATCTCAAACGCCACCACACTTTCGATGATCACACTTCCGGCCGAAAGAGCACACACATCGCTGCGTTCATACGCGGCCGACTGGGGTTCTTTCGTATCGAGATCGATCGATTCCAATGGCTTTCGCAGCGTACTAATTGGTTTCTTCGCCGCGCGAATGACGATCGGCTGCCCGTTGGTCATGCCGGCTTCAAGTCCGCCAGCGTTGTTCGTTGGTCGGGTGTAACCCAAGTTCGGCGAATCGGCCTGGGCCGGGTCGTAGTTGATCGGGTCGTGCACCTGCGAACCACGTCGGCGGGCGGCTTCGAACCCGAGACCGATCTCAACTCCCTTGAACGCTTGCACCGCCATAACCGCCTGGGCCAAGCGACCATCGAGCTTGCGGTCCCACTGGGCGTGAGTCCCCAGACCAAACGGAACCCCTTCCACGCGGACTTCGACCACGCCGCCAAGGGTGTCGCCCTCTTTGCCGCAGCGGTCGATCATGGTCTTCAATTCGGGATCGCGCGAAGGGTCGAGTGTGTACAGCTCGCTCTCATCGCGCAGCTTCATCTGTTCTTCCAGCGTGCCTGGCTTGGGTTCGATGACCACCCCGCCGAGTTCAACCACATAGCCGAACGCGCGAATGCCAAAAACGCCCAAAAGCTGTTGAGCCAGCGCTCCGGCGGCAACCCGGGCGGCGGTCTCCCGGGCACTGGCCCGTTCGAGAATGCCACGGATCGAGCCGAGGTACTTCATCGCTCCGGTCAAGTCGCCATGCCCGGGCCGAGGACGCGGTAAATCGTCGAGTCGCTCGAGTTTGTAGTCTTTGTTGATGACCTGAAGTTGGATAGGGCTGCCCAGCGTTTTGCCGTGCCACACGCCGGTCATGATCTCAACGGTGTCGGTTTCGATCCGCTGACGCCCACCGCGCCCGTAGCCGCCCTGACGGCGTCGGAGTTCCACATTAATTGCGTCGGTGTCGATTTCCAGCCCGGCCGGAAACCCGTCGACCATCGCCGTCATTACTTTGCCGTGCGACTCGCCGGCGGTCCAATAGCGCATGTTCGTAAGCCAAATAAGAAACGAAGACTCGCGACCTGCCCCCTAAAAGCTGGGAGGCCGCACCCCAAAACACCAATTGTATCTGCCCAAGGCACCCGCGGACAGGTCGGTTGAAAGCCTGCAGAGAAGGCGATTTGGCCTGGAAAAGCGGTAAATCGAAGGGAAAGCGCGACCGGCAATCCCGCCACTTCGAGACCAGCTACTAACCGGTGATAGCAAGGTTTCCACTCGACTGAGATTCGATGCCGAACCCACATGCGAGAGGTGGCTGAATTTGGTGGCCGTGCTTGACCTCATTTCGGGTGAAGCCATCTCACCGAAAGTTGGATGAAAATCCATACGCACGCGAAGTCATGACCGCCGTTTTGGAAGAACAACCCCTCATAGGTACGAGAGCACACGTAACCAACAACATTTTGCCAAAGGTACTTACCGTTTCGTATCCAACTTTTTGTTTTGTTGCAGGCCTTTTCTGCAACGGGAGACGAGTTTCATTTGCATTCACGAACATTTATAAATGCACCTCATGTTGAAGGCGGAGTGAACTCAACAGCGTTCATCGAAAGTGGGGCATGGCCATCGACCTCATCTTGGGAACGGCAGGTCACATCGATCATGGGAAGACGGCGCTGGTGCGCGCACTGACTGGCGTCGACACCGATCGCTTGCCCGAGGAGAAACGCCGTGGGATCACGATCGAGTTAGGATTCGCCTCGCTCGACTTGGGCGAGTACAAGTTGGGCATCGTTGATGTTCCAGGCCATGAGCGGTTCGTGCGGAACATGCTGGCCGGCGCTTCTGGAGTTGATCTGGCTCTGTTGGTCGTGGCGGCCGACGATTCGGTAAAGCCACAGACTCGGGAACATCTCGATATTCTCCGCCTCTTAGATCTCAAGGCCGGGGTGATCGCACTGACCAAATGCGACCTATCCGAAGCCTCGTGGACCGACATGGTCGAAGAAGAAGTTCGCGAGTTGGTGCAAGGCACGTTTCTGGCAGATGCACCCATTGTGCGAACCAGTTCCCAAACCGGACAGGGCATCGATGAACTACGGGAGCAACTTTCCGCAGCCTCGCGAAAGGTGGCCGAGTCGTCGCAGCACCGCACCGACGGCCCCTTCCGCATGCCCATCGATCGAGCCTTCACCATGGCCGGGCATGGGGCCGTTGTGACGGGAAGCGTGGCCAGTGGATCGTTGAGCGTGGGTGACGTGCTCACGATTCAGCCCAGCGGCAAAGAGGTTCGCGTTCGCGAGTTGCAGAACCACGATCAGACGGTCGAGCAGGTGCATCGTGGACAAAGGGCCGCCGTGAATGTGGCCGGAGTCCACCACACCGAAATTCATCGCGGCAACGTTTTGGCATCCCCAGGGCATTTGGTGCCGAGCCGGCTGTTGACCGTCGAGATCGAAATGCTGAAAGAAGCAGCCCACCCGCTAAAGAACCGTAGTCGGGTTCGGGTGCATATGGGAACCGCCGAAGTGCTGGCCAATGTGGCCTTGCTCGAAGGTGACTTACTGGAACCCGGCAAGACGGCGCTCGCACAGTTGTACTTGAGCGAACCGGTCGTTTGCACATGGCGACAGCCCCTGGTGCTCCGGTTGGTCTCGCCGGTAGTCACCATCGGCGGTGGTCATGTGCTCGATCCTAACGCTGTGCGGCAACCGCGCGACGATGGTGCCATGCTTGAGCGAATCAGGCAGTTGAACGATAGCGACCCCACGCGTCGTGCCCTGGCCAGCGCTTTCTTTTTGGATCTGCGACCTTGGGAACCCAGCGATCTGGCACGTACCGTCGACGTGCCAGAGCAGGATACGGTGGTCGCCGGCTTGGTCGACCGCGGCGAACTGCAATCACTCGTGCTCTCGCCCACGCGTACCCAACTCGTGCACGGCGATGCGTTAGAAGCTTGGCTGGTTCGCATCGAACAGGCCCTGGCCCAACTGCATGAGAAGAACACGTTGCAAATGTTTATCGAACCATCGCGGCTCACGTCGCGGTTCCGGTATCTGGGCGACCCCGCTTTGGTGCAGGCCCTGTTGAATGAGTTGGCTTCCCAGGGCCGTCTACGAGTTGCCCCGGCGGGAATCGCACTTAAAGGACATGGACCTCAGCTTTCCAAAGGTGAGCAAGAACTCCTCGAACAGTTGGTCGAAGATTACCGCAACGGGGGCTTGCAGCCTTCCACCGTGAAACAGCTTCAAGCGAACGTTTCCAAAAATCGGGCCGTCGTCCCGCGATTGATCGACCTAGCGGCCGCCGAAGGCCGACTGGTGAAGGTGAACGCGGAGATGTATCTGCATGCCGAAAATGAGGAACGCCTACGAAATACGCTGGCCGAGGCTTTCGCCGCCCAACCGCAGTTGACCGTGAGTGAAATCCGCG